AAGTATTAATAAATTCATTATATCATTACTTATGTGCAATTATATGTTCGATTACATGATTATTATGGAAATTTTCTTTTACTGTGATACATGTAGAATTTCAAAAATTATATATGATACATTTGTGAATTGGAATGCGAGACATATGGGATATTAAGATTGATCAGAAAAGTATTTGTGATTATATACTTCTTCTAATTTATCAAGAAACCTTGATCGTGTTTTAAAATTGATTATGAGAGATATTTAAAACCCGTTTCCATTCACTGAGGGGGCCTGAGGTATGTGTCGGGAGTGCTTAGCCCGAGGGGCAATCTACGTTAATATGACCATATTACATATCTCAATTAGAGGGTATATTTTTGGTGGATTTTTCAGTACTTTTGATATGATGAGATCATAGTATGAATGTTAGCTAGTGAAGATATCATATGAATATGAGATGGTCTTTTACAGCATTATGAAGATGTCTCACATCTTGATTATTATTATTATTATTATTATTATTATTATTATTATTATTATTATTATTATTATTATTATTATTATTATTATTATGTGAATTGTCAAATGACGTCAACTCAATTTTTGATAAAAAACATATAAATGAGAAAGTATAATTATTTTCAAACCTTTTTATTCACCAAGCTATCAACTCATATATTTTCCCATGATTTTTCCTGCAGGTAGCAATTGGTTCTTAATAGTTTGAGCAACGTGATGATTTCAGAGTTAAGAGTCACATGACATATTGAGTTATATGATTCATTTTGGTAGAGTGTGAAATAATTATTTTGGGCCCATTGCATTATATTTTTCATAAGCATTTAATTTTGGGACATATTTTGTAGTGACACATAACCAGTCTTGGTAGTGAATTTGGCATGTAGCCAGCATCTATCATCGGTGTACGTCATGTTTCGGGTCCATTAAAGTTATTCTGGACGGGTCGTGTCATAAATATACTTAGTATTTAATTATTTGGTCGAATTTCTTAGTGTATATATTATTTTACAGGCGAAACACCGATTTGAAGGCGAATCAAGCATAAAGAAAGAGTATCGCAATGTAATTGGAGCTAAAGGGTTGAAATTGAAGAGCTATCAAGAAGTTTGAACTTGATTGGAAGCTTTGAAAGTGGTAATCGAATAAATCCACAAGTTATGGGAGTAAATTCTACATTTGGAGATTTTGAGGACCAACTAATTGCTTGTTTTTAGTTCAATTCTCTTTTTAGAATTGATTATTTATTGTTCTTGTTCGCTGAAATACTACACCGCAAGTGCACGGGTTGCGTTCAAATAATAAAGTGAACATTTTGAGTCCGATTTATCGATCTCTCGAGGAATGTTTACTTTCGATTACACAACCCTAATCAATTTAATTCTAACAATAAAAATAAACACACAATAAAATTTTGGTTTTAGAAAATAACTAAAAATCTACAAAATGAGAATATAAAAGTCTTGGAAATTTTGGAAGAGAACTTGGTTGGGATTCATGATTTCGTTTAACTGTCGCTTAAATTAATTTCTCTACGAGCTAATTAACGAATTATTCATTTTCTATGTTGGACTCGATCTTTCAATTTTAGTTAATTACCTCTCTCGTGAGAGATTAACCCTAATTGATTGGTTTAACCTACTATATCTCTATATTGATTAAAACCAAATAACAGCATTAAATTTTTGTGAAAATAGCTCAATGGGTCACCTAGGACTAAATGTATATCTCTATCCTCTACACAAACTTAGAATTTCTACTATTTAGTCTAAAATGCACAATATTTTCTCAGATGATGCATAAATCACTAAACATAATCATTCATTGGCCATACAAATGAAAATGAAATAAATACAATAGTAGAAACATATGAAAATAAATAACTTAAAATTAAAGAGGAAATATCAAAATCAATTAAAAGTAGGTTAAATTAATACCATAAATCCTAACACAATAAATTAGCCCATTTTATACAATTGATAAAAATGAAAATATTTTACACAATCCATTACAAATATGGCAAAATAATTGAGAAAATACAAAGTTATAAATATAACTCTTTTGAAACTTGGCTATGACTTTCTCAAATATTTATCCAAAACCTTAAATAGAATCTCCTTGTGCTCTTGATTTCACTTCCAAAATGCTAAGAAAAATGGAAAGAAAAAAAAAAGAAGAAAAAGAAAGAAAAGAAAAGTAAAAGAAAAATGAAAGAAAGAGGAAGAAGACCCAGCCACCGAAGCCCTCAAATTGACCAACCAAACTGTATTTAAATGACCAAAAATCATTTAAGGTGAAATTGTGGAAGAAGTCCTGAAATTTAAGCGAAATAGGCAAAATTCGTCTAACCGGAAAGCGGTACGGGGGCACATGCATTTGTGGCATGTGCACACCATTAAATGCTTTTGGCCTCGAGAGATCACAAAGAGCCTCCCGCGCAAGAGCCATAGTAAGCCTGCGCTTGAGCGGGGCTTTCTTCATTTCTTTTTCCAACTTAATCCTCCAATTAAATGTACACAGGGCTCCTCAACTTTGATCATGTACAATCTCGTCTTCAAAATTTGATTTTCATATCACTTTTGCCCTCCAAAATTGCAACCCTAGGTCCTTGAACTACCGGCCCTTTTGCATTTTGGTCCCCAACTTCACAAAATTACACACTTTTAGTCCTTTTCTCCTCCTTTTGCTTTGTTCTCTTTCTTTAGGTGATTTTTGACCTACGAAAGCAAATATTACATAATTGTGAGTAGAATCCCATTCATTTAATCAATTAAAAACATATTTAGATATTAAATAAGTGTGTAAAAATACACTTATCAATTCTCCTTTTTGATGATTGTAATCTTTATAACGTGTTTTGATTAATATAGGTTTCAAGAGATTCGATATATATTAGTGCACGACAATAAACAATATAGAATCTTGTAATAGATAGAGATATCATTATGTTCCATGAAATTGTTATGTGATTATCTTTGTGAATTAATACATATTCATATGTTAATTAAAGATAATTAAATTCACATATAAATATATGATTGATTGACTGACTTCAAGAGATATTAATTGGATAATTGATTTTCACCATATGCATTAATTGATTATCAACAAATAGTTGAGGATTAAAGTATAGTTAAAACCAAAACGAAAAAAAAAAAAAATTGATTTTTGCCCTATTGTCTCTTGTGATTTTATTAATTCCAAGATTTTGTTTACTTAGAGCCTGTTTGACAATCATTGTTATAGAAAAAGAATTTTGAATAATGATTTTTAGAAGAATGTGTGGTTAAAAAGTAGGAAGAGTCTTTTGCATATGTGTAGAATGTTTTATTGTGTAAATGTGTAGTTGAAATCATAAAATAAATCAATGTATACGAAATAGAGAGTTAATTGTAATGGCATAATTTAGTGGATATAGTTAAAATCAAAATCAAATAATTGATTGTTCATCTCAAATTAGAGCTTGTTCCAATTAAAGTAAAATACACAGATGATGACTCATTGTGGATTCGATACCTTACTCATCATTATATTATTTATTGATGATTTGTTCACTTACGAAATAAAATCAACAACAAAACCTTTAAAATAGGGATCGTTACTTTTCTCTTTGGCCAAGTTCCCTTTGAAGCTCAAAGATTTTCTCAATAGGTAAAGGGTTGTTGGCGAAACAAATATGAGCTCACAAGACGATTATGAGAAGATAAAATTGAAGTAATAGATATGTGAAAACTTACTCTTACTGCAGACTTCATTTATTCTACATAAGGATATCTTTTGAAGTGTAGGAGATTAAGTAGGAGGGAGATCAAGAAAATGGTAGAACAAGATATTGATTCTCCTTTTATCGCAAGAAAATAGCGATTTAAACAAAATCGATGAAAATAGAAGAAATTTCGTAATCTTGTTTGATGTCCATTTATGAGCGGCGAAATTAATTTATCGAGATAATTTTACATTGATATGTACAACACCTAATATTAATCATCTCTACGAAGAATTTCTGATTTTATTTTTTGTTTTTAATTATCATAATTAAGCATCCTTTTTAGACTCAGAATTCTTTTCTTCCCATTTCAAGAGTTTGATTTATATTTATTTTATCATGGTTTCCAATAAGCAATGTACATATATATCAACAGTCCTACAGAATTTAATTTCATATAGAATAATATTATTTGTAATCGTTTACTACTGCATTCGCCCTACGAAATATACATGTGACAGTTAGTGATTAGGCAATAAATCACTAACCGTCACATGTATGTTACATAGGGCGATTACAGCTATGAGCGACTTCAAATAACATTATTCTTCCATATATCCACTCTTTTATAATTACACAACAAAATGTCAATTAAATACCATAATTTTAATTCAAAATCAGGCAGGTATTTCAATTCTTAGGTTCCAAACATTTTAAATTTTCACTACAATGATTTCCATTTTGTATTTAAGATCCATCCCTCTAATCCTATCTATTAATTAAGACAAAGATACAATTATAATTAGAAGTAAATAAATAATTATTCCTAATAAAGAGGAGCCTAACCACATTACTAATTTCTCACATAATACAATAAAATTGGGACCTTTAACATAATCACACGACAGAATCAAAGCCTAAACTCTATACTAAGTAGCTGTCATCACTTGTAACTTGTAATAAAATACACAGGACAATTCACAGTGTAAATTTAAAACTATTCCAATTTTGTCGAATCCAACGTACTTTGCTATGGTCAACATTTATCTTATATTTACATATTTAAATATTTGTAAGTTATAGCATGTCAACCTTCCAAAGAAATAACTTTGTTTGCCTTGTTAATTTTCTTATATAACACCATGCAATGAAGGCATAATATCCATCTTTCCACATTCAAGGGATTCAGCATTTATTTCTCCATTACTTAAAACAAGCTTCTTTTCCTCGTTCTTCTTCAATCTAAATCGAAAAGCCAATTGAAAGAAGAGAATTTATTTGTGATTTAGCAATGGAAATCCATGGTCAAGATCCATGCCACTCTGAAGGCTCCAATATTTCGGCTGCATCAGAACAAGCCCATGTCAAAAAATATGCAGATGATGATCAGCAGAAGAACGCAAAAATGAAGGAAAAAATTGAAGAAGGATCTGATTCAAAACCCGAGTTGACATCCCGAGTTGAATTGGATCTCAAACTTGCTGCCAATGATGAGATGAGTAACAAGAATAATGGTGCAGCAGCCTCCAATCTTGAACTTAACCTGTTTAACTCGTTAAACTCAGTTTCTTCTCCGGCGAGTGAGTCATCAAACGACGGCTCAAAATGCCGTTTTCAGACGAAAACATTCACATGCAGCTTTTGCAAGAGGGAGTTTTCAACTTCTCAAGCACTGGGTGGCCACCAGAATGCCCATAAACAAGAGCGTGCACTGGCCAAACGCCGCCATGGGGTGGTGGAGGAGGCGGCAGCTGCCACACCTTTTGGCCACTATCCAGCCTATTCATACCACCCCTACACTTTCCCACAAGTTCCTTTTTATGGCAGTTTTAACAGATCATCACTCGGGGTCCGACCAAATTCCATGATCCACAAGCAATCTTATAATCCATATGGCATTCGTTTTGGCCATGAGAATATTTCTAGGGCATTTTTCATGAACCCTAATTTGAAGGGCTTGTCATATAATCAAATCAGTGGTCGATTTGGTCATGAAAAGTTTGAAGGAAGGGGTTCAATTCTTGATTTAGGGGATAAACATGTTGATCTTGATCATCATAATTCATCAACAAGCAAGGGGAATGAAGACAATAATCAACGATTGAGATTGGGAAATGTCAATGGTGATCATCAAACTGATGATGAATCTGGCCTCGATTTGAATCTTAAACTTTAATTGCTGTTATTTCATTTCTCTTGAATCTCTCTCCCTTTTTTTTTTTTTAAATTATTTTATTTCTATAGTTTTGTTATGTTATGATTTGAATGTTAAACCACATTTATTTATGATAAATACAGGCTCATATTTGAAATTCAAAACATGGTTTTATATCATTTAGCATTAATTATATTCCATTATGCACAAATATTGCTACGCGTCGCATACGAAACTCCCAATGGAAGTCACGTCAAAACCACATGGAATCAAGGAAAAGGGCTGATCTCTATGGCCAAAGCGTTGTCTCCATCCGAAGTTCTTTGCTGAAACACTCTATGGCAGTTGAACCTCTACTTGTCCGAAGTCATCTCTTTAAGCCAAAGCATTCGTTGCCTTTAAAGCGGATTTGCAGAGTATCTGTAGGAATGATTGATATAATATTTATATTAATGAATGTCAGAAATGTCAACCTAGAGTGTACGATATGGCAGAGTGATGTGAGACTTTGGTTAATGTTGTTCGCTAAAATACTACACCGCAAGTGCACGGGTCGCATACAAGTAATAAAGTAGACATTTTGAGTCCGGATTGTCGAGCCTTCAAAAAATGTATACTTTCAATTACACAACTCCAATTAATTTAATTCTAACAATAAAAATAAACACACACAACTAAAAATATGGTGTTTAAATAAGGAAATTAACTAAAATCTACAAATTAAGAAAATATGAAAATCTTGAAAATTTTCGGAAGCAAACGTGGTTGGGATTCGTGATTTCATTTAATCGTTGCCTAATTAATTTCTTCATGAGCCAATTAACAAATTACTCATTTCCTACATTAGACCCAATATTTCAATTTTAGTTAATTACCTCTCTCGAGCGAAATTAATCATAATTGATTAGTTTAACCTACTATATCTCTATATCAATTAAAACCAAACATCTGCTTTAAATATTTGTGAAAATAGCTCAATGGGTCACCTAGGGCTAGAAGTATATGTCTATCTCCTACACAAACCTAGGGTTTCTACTATTTGATGTAAAATGCACAACATTCTCTCGAACGATGTACAATTCATTAGACATAATCATTCATTGGCCATATAAATGAAAATGCAATAAAAATCATAGTAGAAACACATGGAAATAAATAATTTAACATTAAAGAGGAAATATCAAAATTAATTATAAGTTAGGTTAAACTAATACCATAAATCCCAACACAAATATTTAGCCCATGTTAAATATTTGATAAAAAGGAGAATGTCTTATACAATACATTGCAAGTTTGACAAAATAATAGAGAAAATACAAGGTATAGATAATATCCCTTTTTGAGCTTGCTCTTGATTTCTCCAAAAGCTTGTCAAATCCTTAATTGAATTTCATTGTGCTTTAGATTGTGTCTCTAAAATACCAAAGAAAAGAAAAGAAAGAAGAATAGAAAGAAAAAAATGGAGGAGGAAGAAGACCTAGCTCCCAAAACCAAAAATCCCCTAGAAAATGACCAAAAATTGGTATTTAAATGGCCAAAATCGCGTCAAGTGAAATTGTGAAAGAAGTCCCGAAATTTACACGAAATATGTGAAATTTGCCCAGCTGGAAAGCAACTCGCGAGCGCGGACTTTCTTCAATTCTTTTTCCAACTTAGTCCTGTATTTAATTGCACACAAGGCTCCTCAACTTTGATCATGTACAATCTATTCCTCAAAATTTGATTTTCATATCACTTTTCCCTCCAAAATTGCAACCTTAGGTCCCCAACTTTCGGTACTTGTGCACTTTGGTCCCCAACTTCACATTTTTGTGCGCTTTTGGTCCTTTTCACTTCCTTTTGCCTTGTTCTCTTCCTTGGGTGATTTTTGGCCTACAAAAGTAAATATTATATAATTGTGAGTAGAATTTTATCCATTTAATCAATAAATAACATATTTAGATATTAATTAAATGCGTAAAAACACACTTATCAAATGCGATGAAACCACATGTTTCTGATCCAACTGCCACCACGTCGGCTAGAATATTATAAATAGCAACTCTTGTTTATTTTTCAGTGGAGTTGTTTGTGATTGATTACCTTGTTTGCGATCATTTTTTATCACATAGTGGGTAGTCGAACGTTTTTGTCTCATATTGTAGAGTATCTCCCACGTCCATCATTGCCATGAGTCTCCGACCATATTTCCAGTTAAAACGTGCCGAAATTTGCTTGCATGAACAATAATGGGTTCGACATCTGTTGTCCACGTTGTCATTGCAAAAAGCGGAGTCAACAAATATCATTCCCATGTTTCCATTGCTAATACAATAATTATATCACTTGATTTTCCATTTCTTTATTGTTAATGAAAGCTTGTAAATCACAACAAAAAGAGTCTAGAAAGTTTGAGAGCTTTTGTTTTATGCTCATAGAAGTGTTCTTTTTAGCAACGGATATTAACCGACGAAGATACTTTGTTGTCGTTAATGATGGGATTTGCAAATGATTTCTGATTGAAAGATTTATCTATTACTAATATTGTTAAAGACCGAAATCAGGTTTTAGTAAATTTTTCATTACAGTCGTTTGTACATTCCTAGGTAACTCAAACAAGTTGAGGCCCCGGACAAAAATTTTAGGGGACATTTTCAAAAACTAGTCAAAATTGAACGTGCATTGTACGTTATTCAAAATAATTTATAAGTACTGTAAAAATAATATTTGATATCAATTTGTTGAAAGAATTAATGAGTCTCAAACGAACGAAATAATATAAAATTTAGGAAAGAAATCTAAGAGATTAAAATTTTATTCTCAAAATTCAACTTCTATGATTCAAATTTTTTGTGATGATTAAATACTACAAATGAGCAACATTTTCATACTACATTTGGTACATAAAAACTAATTGTTTTTCCATGAATTTAAACACTCATTAAAATTCTTAGATATATAAATAGAAATAAATTCATCTATAATAACTCTAGATTTATGTAGATTAAGATTTATCAAGTCAAGATTCTTTGAGTCTAAAATAATGTGCATGTTAATTAATTGAGAATTAATAACATGGTATTTATTACATATTGAAAAACATAAAGTATTATTGAAATAATTGAATTGTAGTAAGATTAAAATCGTCGAAAAAATATTCTCACTTGATGTGATATTTTAATATATTATAGATAATCTTTAAAAAAATCGAGAATAATCTTTAAAAAACAATTTAAATGAATAATATAATTATCGATACTTAACGAAATTCAGCATACATAGGTGATTCGAATTAATTACCAACGACGGAGCAACCATCGAGGCACATCTGCCAGTGATTATCAATGTCAATGATATTCGTGATTTCATCGACAATCACTAACAATATTTCGGTCGCTAATCATTGATGCAGACACATTTATTCTTATCATTGACGAAAACTCCATCGTAATCTTGAAATAGTATATTTCATTATTATTATTTTATTACCTACGTATTTCCCCAACGGTTTATATTAATTTTTCTTACTTTATCTAGTCACAAAATTTATATGAGTAAAGTAAATTTATTAAAATCTATCTTTTAATAACTATTGGCAAAAAATTATAATCTCGAATTCTAAAGAAGAAAAGATTTGTAATTAGAGGTAGGTAAAAAAATTCACCACTTAATCTTTGTACCCTTTTAATCTTGTAAAAGTGGGTTGTAAACCAGAAAGCCAATTGCAAATATATTAGGAAAATGTCAAACGAACATAATGTTTGACACAAAGGATGACATCACACTCATAGTCGAGGTGTGAGTCCTGCGCGAATAAAATAATGCCGACCTCCCATGTGAGTGTATTGCATGTGTCAAACTTTATGGTGGTGTAGCATAATTGAATATATTAATATGACACTATTTCATGTCCTAGTCGAAATTGTTAAACTCGTGGTGAATAATACAAGGAACATAGCCCACTATGTCATGAAGATTTTAGCCATGTAGAAACTACCACATTTTTTTTTTCACCACAGTTGAGTAGAATTTGTCAATTCGAACTACGCACGCATGAAATTGAAAAATGGATGAGTGCATTTATGCTCTTAGAACTTTAGAAGTAAGGTGGAGTGTCAACTGCTGAAGTGTGTATTGGAATGCTAAAGCAGAATTATTCAAAAATTAAAAATTTCTTTAATGCATTACGAAATAGTAGTTTTTTAAAAAATGTGTGGTTAAAAAGTAAGAATTTTTTTTGAAATACATGTATAGAAGAATGTGAGGTTGAAAATGAGTTTTGAAAAATGCATTCTTACAAAAATGGGGCTCAATAAATAAGATCGTCTAGATATTCAAGTGTTTATTATACCAAGAATAAAGGATTCGAATTTTTACCTAAGTTTGATGGTCAAGTCTTGAATAAATTCCGAATTACGAACTTCCAACCTTTTGGATGTGAGCTTTCAGCCTTTTAATTGCAAGAAGTTGATACTTCAAATTTTCAATGATATTCTCCAAAGTTAATATTATATTGGTGGGTGGACACATTCTTTTAATTAAATCAAGAAACTAATTCTTAAACTGAACAATTGAAAAAGCAGGAAAATAATTATTCTCTCTTTTTCTCTCCAAATTTGAATACTATGAAATTATATATTGTAATTGCGGTAGGATTTCTAGGTTCTATCTAGTCTCTATTTATAGAGGTAGATTAATTACAATCTTTGTACAATAATAATTCCACATTCAAATATGAGTCTTAATTAAAATCCAAATAGAAGTTTCAATTAAAGTCAGCATCCAATTAATTTACATTTAATTACATGTATAGTCCTGAACTATCGTTACAATTATAATTAAGTTTACAACTTTTATAGCAATTACAACTAAATATAAAACTTTATAATACAGTCAAAACTCTTATAATTATCAAAATTAAATCTCAATACTTTATAGAACTACCACAGGGCCTAATCGGACATATATTATCCAAGCTTTAGTAATTAAATCATGTCTAGTCGACCCTAGACCACCCAACCTAATTATTAGCCTTTGCTTTT